CTTTTCAGTAAGCATTTGAGTTACGAAAACAGCTTCCCAGTTTTTCACATGGGAACTCTAACCTCTCCATCAGTCTCACTATCAGAGCTTCATCATATATATATATATACCAAAGACCTGTAGATACTTCCATCGTTTTTCCTAGAAACCACGCTCCAGATCGATAGAGCTATCTTCATCGTTTTCATTGTCAACTTTGTTGATGTTCAAATCATACAGAATACTTTAGAATAGGATGGTTACAGAGTGATGAAAGATGATGGGGATGATCACTTCTTTCCCTGATTTTATGTCTTGGCCACCGAGTTAGAGTGAACGATCTGCACAGAAGAAGGTCGTGAGAGGGCGGGGTGGTGATTCCCCCGTGGTGCCTCTGACAATCAAGTCAGTTGATGAACTTGAGCTTGAGTGGGGTAATAGAACTATGTGTTCTTATATATGCCATGTGCATTAGAGATGATGATCTTAGGTGAGGATGAGAGTTTAAATTGCCCACCTTTGGCTATAACAAATAGCATCTGTATATAAAGAGAATGTCAATGGCAGATTGATCATTTCAGCCGTGCAAATGGCGGTGACAAAGTGTGAGCTAGAAGATGAGTCATCCTTTACTCTACATGTGTCGGCTGACGACAGGAGGAAGATCACTTCAGCATCGATTTTGAGGAGCGATCGATGAGACGTGGGCTGATAAGCGGCATGATGACGCGTGGTCTATGAGTAGACATGATATGACTTGTTTTCGGGATGGATAAGTTTTGGCGAACTTATCTTCTAGCTTCGCTAAGAAGCAATGTCCCTCATGATGGGACTCGTGAGGAGAGTCGACTCGTTGAGAGGAGTGACGACTCAAGGATTGTTGGCTAAATGGAGTTGGGTGACGACTCGTCCCGCCTTTCGAGTCGACATGAAGGAGTATCGACTCGACTAGGTCGGTCAGTCTCTTGACGAGTTGCCTGCTGTGAGAGGGCCGACCAGTACTGCCTTTCGTGTCGACATTGATGAATGTCGACTCTTCTGATCGGCTGAGTCGGACTGCTAGCTGATCTCTGGCTATCTCTCCCGTCGGTCGAGATGTCGACTCGTCTGGAAGGTCAGGATATCTCGTGCCGATTAGCACCGCTTCTCGTGTCGACACTAGAGTATCGGCTTGCCTGCATGGATGGAAAATGACGACTCATTAAATCATATATTTAAAAACAGTTATACCCCATAACAAATTTGTACGTAAAAAATACATTTAAATGATTTCTTATCGTGATCAACTACTTTGACTCACTTTTTTCAGTTGAGTTTTTCCTTATTATTTTCGCTGTAATAATAATAGTTAAATAAGCGTACTAGAGGGATGGTTTTTAATTGTTGTTCGATGGAGTTAATTACCGAAAAACTTGACTTTAAAGCGAGTTCTTTGAAAATGAAATCGAAAAAAAAAACCCTTTAAAACCGTAAATTCTATGGAATAAGTAAGCCTATATTTTTTACAGCAAGATTTTTTTAGCCTCAGTAAGCAGCATAGCTTTAAAACCGAACCTCAAAAAGATTGTGGGCGCAGCCAGTTTCCGAAAGAGCGGCCTGTCAGTCGATGGGTCACGTGACGCTGCGGGAGGACGCAACACGCAGCCGTCTGCGTGGCGCGGGGAGTCACATGGGCTGTCGGGCGTATTGAAGAGCGCGGGCCCCACGGTTGAACGTGGTTGGGTACCCTGCTGCCACGAAGCGCTACTGCAAGCTGGCGAGCAAGCAAATAGAAAAGGCCCCGGTCCCCTCGCAGGAAATGATGGCGGGCTGAAAACATCCACGTGCACGTTGATTCCGTGGAACCCGCGTTTTATTGGACACGTGTTGAGCGGCGGATGGTTAGGTGAGGTATGGGTTTCGGGTGTGGTGAGGCCTCTCGATTTGGAAATTTTTTTGCTTCTTTGGTGGACGATGCCGCCGAAGGGAAGGGTGGTTTTTTTTGGGCCCCCAGCCCCTTTTCAGATTTTTTTGGACCGTGTTTTGCTCCCGTAACGTGGTAAGCTTTCCTTTTGTACTTACTTGGGCTGTGGGCTAATATATTCTCTCTTTTCAATAGCTTATTTTCCATTGTCGGTCGGCCCAATTACCAATTAGAACAACAGTCTCGTCGAGTTTGAAACCATCTTCGGTAATCATTTTTCTTTTTTGTTTATTTATTTATTGGGATAATTGTGTCAAAGCCCCAAATATGATAAGCCCATGTGACTTGCCCCTATGTATTTTGGCCACGTGATTCAGCCCCAAATACATGGTGTATTTGTGTTAAGGACCCAAAATTACTGAGAGAGAGAAAAGCTCAGTTGAAGTTACAATCTCGCCCTCCGATTTGACCGAACTCGGTAACCGCGCCTCCTCCCCACTCAAGTACTCTCTCTCTCTCTTCTACTATTGAGGAGCCATCGAAAATTCCCGAACTCCATTTCTGCCATTTCGAATTTCAATCTTGGGTTAGGGTTTTCGCCGTGAAAATGTCGTCGAAGGAAGCATCTGTTAACAATTTCGAAGTCGTTCATCGCGGTGGACAGCAGGAGAAAGATGAAGCCAAATCACAGTCGTCGTGCACATTTCGTGAATCATCTGGGAATGGAAGGGACGGTGAATCATCTAGGACTGGAAGCACTGAGGAAGTGTCGAAGGCCCGTTTGGTCATGGGATGAAGTACGAGGTCGAGACCAAAAAAGAAGACAATGCAGATGATAGCCTTCTCAGCTATTATGAAGGGAAGGTAGAAGAAATAATGGAGATAATTTTAGGATAAGAGGAGTAAGAAGAGCAAAAAACATTATGAAGAGAATTTTAGGACAACTAAATAGTTATTGTTCATGATAGAGTAAAAATGGGGGGGATTTTCCTCCAATTCTCTCATCAGATCGCCATTAATGTGATTGACTTTCGCCCATGTATTTATCTTGATGGGGGCGTTGTGTCTGGGGAAGAAGGAGAAGGGCATTTTAGGGTTTTTTTCCTTTCTAAAAGACAGTCTCTTTTTTTGTACACAGCTGACATGGAGGGGCCCGAATACTTTGAATGAAACTTTTTGGGTCTGATTTACATGGGGAAAAGTTAGGGGGAGGGTGTCACGGTCGCACGAAGTTAATGCTTTTGGGGCCTTGACACAATTTTCCCTTATTTATTTATTTAAAACATTATCTCCATCATCAATTGCTCTCCGTCTACTTGCATTCAGGGTTCTTGAATACATTCCGACATTTATTTATTCTATTGTAACTCAAGATATTAGTTTTATTGGATGAATAAGATAAAATGTGCTGCACTCTTTTTTCTTCTAGACCATGGTTTTATCCTGTCAATCAAGATTTGGGAAAGATAATGCTACGGAAAATAACTTGTTACTGATCGAGGGTTGATACACCAATATATACATGTGAAAACTCATCCATACGAGTTGTATAAGTAAAAGCTAGTAAATACAAGTAGATGAAAAATAAAAAGACGAGAGGTAAATGCTAGGTAGTTGAGAGGTAGATCGATGAGAGATGCAACATATCTTAGCATATCCCTCATAGATATATTGGCAAGGTTGTAAAAAGGCAGTTATGGGATTTTAATTTTAAAGATGTTTATTTTATTGAGTACGCCTGCAATATAAATACATACATGATGTAACTAACTTAGTTACACACAACTATAAAAATAAAATATATGTTTGATAATTAATACAAATGATCGAACACCAATTCACAAGGACTGCTTCTTTGCATGATGACAAGAAGAAAATCATGAAGGGGGCCATATCCTATGGCCATTTTAAAAAGAATGCCTCTTTTGACATGAAGAGAGAATCACCAATAAATATTTTTCCATATACAGAACGTTTGATCCACCTTCAAAATAATCTCAAGATATTTTTACTAAGTTATTTTTAAACCTACCTATCGAGTCTGTTGGGGAATTTAATCTCTTATCCCTGTACTACTATATCCGCAACTCGGAAGCCAACCCACAATCAATAAGATAGATAACAATCACAATCAAGAAGAAATAACACCGAGATTTACGTGGTTCGGTCGACCAACTTCTGCCTACATCAACGGGGCGACAATACGAGAAATCCACTATGTATCAGAGAAAAGTACAAGAGGAACCACTCAACTCTCATTTCTCAATCTCTCAACCCCACATACATAATCAACTCTCATATTCTCTCTAAAACTCACTCCTTACAATCTTTTGAACGGACAAAACTGTGAAACCCTCTCCCAATGTTGTAATATTTTGCACGGATAAAGACTATGAAACCCTCGCCTTTTGCACAATATTCTTGACTCAGGCTAAGCTCTATGCTAACCCTAGATTCTTCACCTTGGTTTTTCTTCCAACAATAAAAGACTATATACAGGAAAACCAAAATCCTATATGTAGCCTAGCTTCCTAATTAGAATAGGATTCAAACCTCTAATCATAATGAGACCAAATCTCCTAATCATGATAGATCTCTAATCCTATCTAATTCTCATGAAGTTATACAAATAATCAAAGACACAATCCTAACATGATCTTAAACCCATAGCTAAGTATAGTTAAATATACTTAGTGATAGATTGAATACGGCAACTTAGATCCAAATATAGCTACTAATACACAAAACAACTTATCATCGAACACTTACGTTTGAGTTACCAAAAGATTGGAAGAATCATACTTGTGGAAACTTTCATTGATATCATTGGATGAATCACAACATCCAAGATTACACTATCATAAAAAGCATAAAGTAAATATACTACTACATAATCTCAAAAAAAAAAAAAAGTTTAAAATAAAAGCTGCATCAGTCATATTATAGTCATTTTTTTGGATGGAGATGACATAATACGAGGTTGACAGAATGAATATGATACGTATGTAGTTTTCCGAAACTCGGGTAATTAAGAGTGGTAACATGAAATAGGACATAAATTAGGGGTTGGCTAAAAATAAAAAGCCCTTCTAATCAAAAAGCCTGTTGCGACAATTGGTCAACAAACTCACAAATATTTTATTGAACACAGCAAACGCAAATGAAGCAGCAGAAAATATATTTCACAACGTGAGAAATAACAAATTTATTTCATCCCAATAAAAATACCTCAAACTGAAAGCACTCACACATTCTAACCAACCACGGTTTTGCCGCCATCAACACAGATAAGCTGGCCAGTAACATAAGAAGCAGCGGGTAGGCAGAGGAACACAGCCAGGGAAGCCACATCCTCTGGCTCTGCGATGCGGCCGAGGGGGATCGAACTGGAAAACTCAGCTTCGTTCTCTTCAGTCATTATCTGTTTCAGAAGATCACAAGGATATCAGAACTCTTCAGAATTTTTAGATCGCTATCGAAAACAACAATTGGGTAAATTTCACAAAATCCTCTTGAATGGAAAAAATCCCATAAACAATATGTTATCGAGTAGAGTAACTAGTTTGAATTCTGACAGATCAAGAGGAGAACAATGCACAACAGTTTTTTTTGCCCGACGCGTTAATGGCATTCGTTAGAGTTCTCCAAAAGTTCAGGAATTCAGGATGGGGTTTCCCTGACTTATGGAAGTTCAGGGAGTTGTGTGAAATTTACTCCTTTAAACTTTCAATAGTTGTGAAGGGAGAAGGAAGGGACAGGGAGTTGTGTGAAATTTACTCCTTTAAACTTTCAATAGTTGTGAAGGGAGAAGGAAGGGAGCGTACAGATTGTATAAGTGGAGTTCTGGTCATTTAAACTTTCAATAGTTGTGAAGGGAGAAGGAAGGGAGCGTACAGATTGTATAAGTGGAGTTCTGGTCAGACCCGGAGCAATGCAATTGGTTCGAATATTATCCTTCGCCCACTCACAAGCCAGATTCTTCGTAAGCTGGTTCATTGCTCCTGCAAGAGCCAAGGGGTAATCTTTGGTGGCTGAAACAATCAAGTACTCTTTGCTCAGGATTTACTAAGAAACTATACCTTTAGATGCAGCGTAAAGGGCTGAATATGGCGCAGCTCTGACGGCGGACACCGAAGACATTTGAACAATGCTGCCTGCTCCTGACGCCTTGAGGAGAGGGTGAGCTAGCTGGCTGATACGGAAGCCAGACTCGAAGTTGGCAGACATCAAGGCCGAGTAATCTTCAACGGTGTAATCTACGGCTGGCTTCATGAGGAGTGTGCCTGCATTATTGATCTTGACACATTGCAAGTAGTTGGCCAAAGGATGAGAGATGGAAAGATTTGAACCCACCCAGGGGTCTACATGCGGCCATGAAAGTACGCGGATAGTAAAGCTCGATAACAGCAGCGATACTACTATTCTACATGAGTTTGCTTTTTAACTCACAAGTATGTTGAGTTTCCCATGGAAAATAGAAGAGACTTCCTCCATCAGTTTCTCTTGGTCAGCTCGAGAAGACACATCGCAAACTGATCCGGTGACGGGGAAGCCCAGCCCCTTCCATTCTCGCAGGCATTTGTCGAGCTCTGCTTCATTCCTTGAACATGTATGCACAGTCGCTCCAAATTTAACCAACTCTTCAACTATGGCATGCCTACAGAACACAGAATGAGAACAAACTGGTGTTCATTCGTCGTGCTCGCTTGTAAATTAAAAAGCAAATTCAAACTAAGCATGTCAAGTATTGTTACAATTCTTCACAGACGAATTATAACCTCTATCTATTGTAGACGAATAAGAACTCTTAGGCGCCGTTTGTTCTCATTAGGGGTTAAAAATAAGCTGACATCTTCTTTACTCCGAAAATAAAATTCCAGAGTACCGATGGCAACAATCTTAATTAGAACAAATTTTCAAATTAGACCCATTTCAAAAAAAAAATTATTTAAACCGACCCATTTTTTATTTATTTATCAAAACCGACCCGATTTTGTAATTAGCAGCTTAATCACCATCCTAAACAGTCGGGTTGCCAACCCCGACTATTTAGGAAGGTGTTAAACCCTAATCAGAAGCCTTAAACCCTAAAAATTAATATCCTAAATAGTCGGGGTTGCCAGCCCCGACTGTTTAGAAAGGTGATTAAGTAGCTAATTACAAAATCGGGTCGGTTTTGGTAAATAAAAAAAAGGGTTGGTTTCAAAAAAAATGGGAATGGGTCTGTTTTGAAAAATTCTTCATCTTAATTACTTCCGCTAATTAACTTAGGCTCGATTTCTCTTTCCTTTCGTTCTTCGCCACTGTCAAATGTCTCAAAGTATAATTATGATTAATCCTTTATTTTTAATTTTTGTTACTATCTTTACTAAACTTCCTCTTTCAAACTTTTCTTGAAATTTTTAGTTTTCTACTGTTGTAATCTCAATGTAGAATGTTGAGGAGAAAAAATATTTGAGTTTATCATTTATATATTAAAATAATAATAATAAGATTTTAATGATATCATGAAATAGTTTTTATTTTGATATCATAACTTCTTCTTTTCTTTGTTTTTATCAGAATCTGTAGTTTTTTCGCCTTGAACATTCTTAAATGGTGTGTTTGGGAGATGACTAAGGTGTGAACGTGGGATAGGGGGACACGAGATGGTGGGACCCCCCATGCTCCCCACATGCTCACCCATCCTCCCCCAATGCTCACTTGTCCCCTCTTCTTTGCCTATAAATAGGAGAGGTTAGGAAGAGAGAAGTTGCGAGGAAGAAAAGAAAAAGGGTGTGAGAATTTTGAGAGATTTTTGAAGAGAGAAAAATCAGAGAGAGAACGCTTGTGAGTTGTATAAGTGGAAGTTGTTATTCTCCTCATAGTAAAATCCCCCTTATCCCTCTCGTGGAGGTAGGTAAGTTTGCCGAACCACGTAAAGACACGACCCGTCTCACTCTGCAAATTTGTTATCATAGAATAACCGCCTCCTCATGCAAATTTGTTACCCCCTCTAGACAAGGGATTAACTAATTTTTAGCACTTTGACCAAATTAACCCCTTTGAAAATGCTAATCGCCATAGCAAAATAAATACGAAAACTTAGAAATTAATTAAGCCCAACAACAGGGTTCCCCTCATTCTGCAGTCAAAAAGAAAAATGAAACCAGAGGAGGAGCATCGAGTTACAAAGGAAGAAGAGGGAAAAAAAGTACCCGATTCCTTTCGTGCCTCCGGTGACCAACGCTGTTGCTCCCTCAAGAGACCACCTCTTCGCTTTGCCCTCAACATTCTCGCCCATTTTTGGCTCTGCCGTTCTGGGCAAATCCAAGCTTTGTATAGTGCGATGAATTTGTGATTTTTTTATGGAGCGCGTGATGCGTGCGGACACACAAATAAAATAAAATAATTGTTTTTCTTTTTGGACGTAGCGTGTTGTGTCATGTGTGTTGTGGGTACAAATTTTGGGATCCCGATCCTCTCCTCATGCACATTGTTTCCTAATGCATACATCCTCTCCATCACCCTCTATCCTCTTTAATGGGCTCCACATGTGTAAAATGAATGACCAAGATTGAACGTTAGGAAATATTAGGATACTATGCATGAGGAGAGGATTTCATTTCCAAATTTTGTAGGATTAATTGCGAATAGACCCCCTTCAGAGGTATAATATTGTCCAATTACGAGTAGCCTCTTACAGTTCTGTTTGTTTGGAGTTTTATTTGAGTAAATATACCCCCCGTAGTATTGGCCGAGGGTAAATACAGCTCGTTTACTGAACTTTTTCGACTCTTTTATGAATACATTCACAGCAATAAAACTGATGTAGATTTATGAATAAACCATAAATTGAAATCCTCATTAGTTTTTGTTTGAACTGGTAACTGGAGACAAAATACTTTTCCCATGAGGATTTCAACTAGGCTTGTGGCTAGGTACCGGGCAAGCACAGAGGGCAGCCTGAACCCTGCAGATAAAAACTTCACAATAATAGTAAGAATTTTCACGCCCAACATTTACAGAGAACTCTACAACCATGGGCCAAATTGGTGAAGGAAAAGATGAACATAAGACATCACTAAAATCAAAACTGAATATAATATCAACAAGTGATCTTCACTGGAAAGAATACCTTTTGGCGATCGATAACCAAATAAAAGAATTGGCTGAAGCCACTGCATAGTTTATCTCTATGGAACACGAGTCTCTCGATCTTTTGAGTAGAAACTCCACCAATTGTTTGTATCGATAAAACTTTAGCTATAACAATAACGGCGAACCCGATATAAAATAACAGCCTTTCGTTGCACAAAGAAATTCCAAGATATCGAGTTTTTACATGCAGAAAACTCATAACAGACCCATAATGCAAATGTTTATTATTGTCTAAGCTCAATGTCCACCATATATACAAACTTCAAGCTTAAAATATCAACATGCAATTCTACTTACGCATGTCATTATGTACAGGCCCAAAATGGACAGGTTGTTGCCTAGTCGTGAGTTGGGTAGAACCCATTCACAGTCATTCCACCATCAACAGAGATGATCTGCCCTGTGATGTAGGAGGCAGAAGGGAGGCAAAGGAAAGCCACCAGAGATGAGACTTCTTCTGGCTCCCCTACTCTTCGAAGAGGGGTCCGAGCAATTACACTCTCCACAAAGTCTTTGTCTGCCAAGAGCTGGAAAAAAATGGAAGAGGGGATTAGAATTAAGATTGGGTTAGATAATAGTTTGCAGCGAACAAGAATACTAATCAAAGAAAAAAAGAAAGTTCGCAAGTATATGCTTGAGACTACACATGACTCTACTGCATCTTAGTAGTAGTCTGATCAAGCACCTTCAATGACATGTCAAATTGTAAATCCCTAGAAATAAGGAGAAATGTCACTAGTGATCACATATTAGATCTAGAAATTTCAGGGCTCCACCCTCTCCAATTACCAATGTGACTTGGTTTCTTCCATTTAATGTAGGATCATAGACAGCAATCACATAGATGTCCATGATTCGCTTAAAGGGGAAAAAGAGAGTTCTTAGTGCACAGTTGGGTAGTCCTTGCTTAGATCCACCCAAGATTTGAATATCCGGTGGGGCTGCCCAAAATTCGACAAGACACACTACCAATCATGTTCTTCAAATTCCTGCTCTGCTGGTGATTGTGCAGATATAAAAGTCAAGGACGCGGACTCCTAATAATAAAGATCAAGATTAAATACATGTCAAATTTAAGCACTTAAATATGAAACATACTTGTATTTGTTGTAAATCAACTACGAGCTAGGGGGAAGAAGGAACCAGAGTAATTGACACGTGATATTATCCATGTTCAGGGATATATTATCATACACCTCATTCCAACACCATCAAAGCAGTGAGAACTTACATGATCAACAAGCGAAGTCTTGATGTACCACGGCGAAACAGAATTGACTCGGATATTGTCCCTTGCCCATTCACAAGCCAAATTTTTTGTAATTTGATTCATTGCTCCTGACACACAAAAACACAGGGACATAACTTTCAACTTGCCATCCTTCTAAAAAATTATAAATAAATGTGTTGCTACTATGTGAACTCTTACCTTTAGTTGCCGAATAGATGACACCACTATCTAGAGCAACCACCCCAGCAACAGACGAGATGAATACAATACTGCCCTTTCCTGATGCTTTAAGAAGAGGATGTGCAAGTTGGCACACATGAAAAGCAGATTCAAAGTTGGTCGCCACAAGAAATGAGAATTCCTCAGATGAGTAATCAGTAGTCGGCTTCTTGATATTTGTTCCAACATTATTTATCTACAAAATACTAAGAAGTATTAAAGACTTCTCAGCACACGAATACGAAATCAAAAACCAGAGACTAGTAAGGATCAAGCCATTCAGAGATTGTTTTGCTGACATTTTTACTAGCTTATCTAATTTCAAAAACAAAACTTGAGTACTAGTTAATTGGTCAATTTCGGAATAGATGGCAAAAAAGGATTGAAAAAGGTAACATGAAAACTTTGAATGCAATAAGTTGATAGAACAAATGTGGTCTCATATCACAGTGTATAATACCATGAAGTGAAATATAGCTGGAGTTATTATCCGTATAAAGCATATGTCAGGATTTAGAAATCTATTCGTTTTAATGGATTATATGTAGTTATTGGTATGTGAGTTTTTCAACAAGCCACGCATGTAAACAACAACAGAACTTAAAAATATATGTTGTTAGCAGAAAGATGAAAACTGGAGGAGATTAAGAAGATAGGAGGAGGAGTTAAAAAATCATAGATAACAACATATATTTTTAAACACCAATTAACACCACTATCCAATCATAGATAACAATTACAAAGATAAAATGTAACACATAAACTAATTTCAAAACACTTCAAAGATTTGGGGGGCAAATCTCAAAATACGAAGATTTTGGGACCTAATTTCAAATATCAAAATTTGCGATTCTCATGAACTATAACATACTAATTTGTCAATTTCTGTCTGTTTTGAGCGAAAGCAAATTTGTTATGTACATAAATATTTGTGATTTTCACGGGCTATAACCGACTATATTTTATAATTTGGGTTTTTTATGAAAGAATGTAGATAAATTATGTGTCCATTGTCCAACAAAATTTGCGATTTTCATTGTCTAACCCATGATTTTTGACATTTTGGTTAGTTTTGAACATCAAAATTTGCGATTTCATGAGCTATCCACATGAACTTTTGTATATATCAAATTTTGCGATTTTCACGAGTTAGAACCATTTTGACAATTTTGCTCCATTTTGAACGAATTTAAAGAAATTATGTGTACATCAAAATTTGTAATTTTTATGAGCTATTAAGCCTATAATTTTTGTCAATTTTGGTTCGTTTTGAACAAAAGTGAATATGTTGTGTACATCAAAACTGCGACTTTTGTGGGCTATAATCCATTATTTTTGACAATTTTGGTTTGTTTTGAACGACTATAAATAAATTACATGCACATTGAAATTCACAATTTTCATGAACTAAAACCCATAAATTTAATCAGTTTTGATTCATTTTGAATGAATGTAAATAAATTGTGTCCAAAAAATTTCGTGATTATCATGTGCTATAACCCATAATTTTTATCACCTTTGGCTCGTTTCAAATGAAAGTAAATCAATTACGTACATATCAAAATTTGTGATTTTAATAACCCAGGATTTTTGAAATTTTTGATCGTTTTGAATGAATATAAATAAATTATGTGTATAACAAAACATTCTTATTTTCATGAGCTATAACCCACGAATTTTGTAAATTTTGGTTCATTTCAAACGAATGTAAATTTGTTGTGTGTACATGAAAATTTATGCTTTTCATGGGCTAAAACAAATGATTTTGACAACTTTGGTTCATTTTAAACGAATGTAAATAAATTATGTGTATATCAAACTTTGAAATTTCCACAGGCAATAACGCATGGATTTTCACAATTTTGGCTTGTTTCGAATGACTATAAATAAATTATGTGTACATCAAAATTTATAATTTTTATGAGATATAACCTAAAATTTTTGTCAATTTTGTTTCATTATGAACGAAAGTAAATTTATTATGTACATCAAAATTGCGACTTTCACAGGCTATAACCCACATTTATTTAGGTTCATTTTTAATGACTCTAAATAAATTATATGTACACCAAAATTTACGATTTTATGAGCTATAACCCCAAAATTTTATCATTTTTTGTTCATTTTAAACGGATATACTTTATTATGTGTAAATCACAATGTGTTTTCATGGGTTATAACCTACGATTTTTGATTTTTGTTTTTGTTTTGAACAAATGTAAATAGGTTATGTTTACATCAAAATTTGTGATTCTCATAGCCTATAACATACTAATTTTGTCAATTTTAATCCGTTTCGAACAAAAGCAAATTTGTTATGCACATCAAAATTTACGATTTTCATGAGCTATAACCCTAAAATATTGTCACTTTTGGTTTGTTTTAAACGAAAGTAAATATTTTTTATGTGTAAATCAAAATTTGTGTTATTCATGGGCTATAACCCATAATTTTTGACAACTTTGGTTCATTTCAATTGAATGTAAATAGGTCATGTATATATTAAAATTTGTGATTCTCATGAATTATAACGTACTAATTTTGTCAATTTGGTCCATTTTGAACGAAATGAAATTTCTTATGTTGACATAAATACTTAAGATTTTTACGGACTATAACCGATGATTTTTTATAATTTTGGTTTGTCATTATAGAACACAGATAAATTATATCCATCAAAATTTGCGATCTACATAGGCTAACCCATGATTTTTTAACAATTTTGGTTCATTTTGAACCTATGTTACCCGGGTACTTCTATAATGAAGCCGTACCCATACTGGACACGTACCCGACACTTTTCCGTACCCAAACTTCATGGACACTTCTTGAATATATGCATGCATTTATTACAACATGTACTCAATTATACGATATATGTGCTAATTTAAAACACTTGTCAAAGACTTCCTGGACGTAGAGCTTACACTTCACATCCGTCTTTTGAAAGTAATGAGATACGGGTCAGGTTCGTTTCAGTCCATACCCAAGTTCAACACTACATAGTTAATGGGTCGTTTAGATGTCTAGTAATTTACAATTCACAATAATCAATATGATAAAAGAAACTAAAAAATGTAATCGGAATTTTAATTCTAATGACACATGAAGCGGGAAAATTATATCTCATGTACATTATTAATTCAATATATATATGTAGCCGTGTCCCCGTACCCTACATTTTACAATTTTGCCGTGTCCCCTACCCGTACCCACACCCGTACCAGTACCCGTGCCCGTTTCCATGCAACTTAGTTTTGAACACATGTAAAATAAATTGTGTACATCAAAATTTGCTATTTTCATGAGTTGTACCTAGGATTTTTTTTCAAATTGGTTCATTTCGACCAAAAGTAAATGTATTATGTGTACATTAATATTTACGAATTTCATGAGTTAGAACCCATGATTTTTGACAATTTTTGGTCGTTCCGAACAAATTGAAAGAAATTGTGTACCTCCAAATTTCTAATTTTCTTGAGCTACAACCTATAATTTTTGTCAATTTTGGTTCAGTTTAAAGGAAAGTAAATTTTTTGTGTACATTAAAATTTACGCTTTTCATGGGCTATAATCCATGATTTTTGGCAATTTTGACTTGTTTTGAGCGATGGTAAATAAATTACATGTATATCAAAATTCACGATTTTCATGAACTATAACCTATAAATTTTTTCAGTTTTGATTCGTTCTAAATGAATGTAGATAAATTTCATGTACATCAAATTTCACGATTTTCATGCCCTATAACCCAAAATCTTTATCACCTTTGGTTCGTGTTGATCGAGAGCAAATTTATTATGTATATATCAAAATTTATGATTTTCATGGGATATAACCCAATATTTTTGACAATTTTACATCATTTGAACGAATAAAAATAAATTATGCATATATCAAAATTTATAATTTTCATGAGCTATAGCCCATGAATTTTGTAAATTTTGGTTCTTTTCTGAATGAATGTAAATTTATTGTGTAAGTCAAAATTTATGATTTTCATGGGATATTACCAATGATTTAAACAACCTTGGTTCGTTTTGAATGAATGTAAATAAGTTGTGTACATCAAACTTTGTTATTTCCATTGGCTATAACTATCATTTTTGACAAATTTGGTCTGTTTCGAATGAGTGTAAATAAATTATGTGCATCAAAATTTTTTGCAATTTTCATGAGCAATAACCTATAGTTTTTGTCAATTTTGATTGGCTATGAACGAAAGTAAATTTATTCTATACATCAAAATTTGCGATTTTTATGAGCTAACCCGCGATTTTTTTGACGATTTTGTTTTGTTTTTAATGTCTTTAATAAATTATGTGTATATCAAAATTTACGATTTTCGTGAGCTATAACCCTAAAATTTTGCCACTTTTGGTTTATTTTGAACAAAGCAAATTTATTATGTATATCAAAATTTGTGTTTTTCATAGACTATAATCCACGATTTTTGACAACTTTGGTTCATTTTGAACGAATGTAAGTAGGTTATGTATACATTAAAATTTGTGATTCTCTTGAACTATAACGTACTAATTTTATCAATTTTGGTCCATTTTTGAACAAAAGTAAATTTGTTATATATGCATAAATCTTTGCTATTTTTACGGGCTATATAACCCATGATTTTTGATAATTTTAGTTTCTTTATAAAAGAAAGTAGTTAAATTAGTGTCCACCAAAATTTGTGATTTTCATAGGCTAACACATGATTTTTTGACAACTTTGGTTCGTTTTAAATGAATGAAAAATAAATTGTGTACATTAAAATTTACGATTTTCATGAGCTATACACGTGAATATTTTCCAAATTGGTTCCATTTGAACAAAAATAAATTTATTATAAGTACATCAACATTTGTGATTTTCATGAGTTAGAAGTCATGATTTTGCAAATTTTGGTCAAACGTATGCAAAAAAATTATGTGTACATCAAAATTTGTAATTTTCATGAGCTATAACTTATATTTTGTATCAATTTGGGTTTGTTTTAAACGAAAGTAGACTTTTTATCTATACATCAAAATCTTCAATTTGGATGGCTATAATCCTCGGTTTTTAACAATTTTGAGTTGTTTTCAACTATTATAAGTAAATTACATATTTACATGTACATCAAATATCGCGATTTTCATGAACTATAACCTACAAATTGTTAATTTTGATTTATTTTGAACGAATGTAAGTAGTTTTTGTACAACAAATTTCGCGATTTTTATGCACTTTAAACCCAAAGTTTTTATCACCTTTGGTTCATTTCAAAGGAAAGTATATCTATTATGTGTAGATCAAAATTCATGTTTTTCATTTGCTATTAATGATTTTTGACAATTTTAGTTCATTTTTAACGAACGTAAATAGGTTATGTATACATCAAAATTTGTGATTCTCATGAACTATAACATACTAATTTTGTCAAATTTGGTTCTTTTAGAACGAAAGTAAATTTGTTGTGTACATAAATATTCAAGACTTTCATGGGCACCCATGATTTTCTTTATAATTTTGGTTTGTTATGAAAAAAAGTATAAATTATGTGTACATCAAAATTTGCGATTTTCATGGACTAAGACATGATTTATTTGACTATTTTCGTTCATTTTGAACGAATGTAAATAAATTATGTACATCAAAATATGCGATTTTCATGAGTTATACCCATGATTTTTTTCTAAATTGGTTCATTTTGAACAAAAGTAAATTTATTACATGTAAATCAAAATTTACGATTTTCATGAGTTAGAACCCATGATTTTCCATAATTTTGGTTCATTCCGAATGAATATAAAAAATTTATACGTACATAAAAATTTGCAATTTTCATAAGCTTTAACCTATATTATTTGTCAATTTTGATTCATTTTGAACGAATGTAAATTTGTTGTGTACGTCAAAATTTGCAATTTTTGTAGGTCAATGATTTCAGATAATTTTGTTTTGTTTTGAATAATTGTAAATAAATTAAGTGAAATGAATGAATGTATAAATAAATTGTGTACAACAAAATTTGTAATTTTCATATGTATGTATATATATAGTTTTTATCAATTTTGGTTAATTACGAACAAAAGTAATTTTATTCTGCACATAAAAATTTGTTGTTTTCATGAGCCATAACCTGTAATTTTGATAATTTTGATTTATTTTTAACGGCTTCAAACAAATTATGTGTACATCAAAATTTGTGATTTTCATTCGCTAGAATCCTACATTAGTTTTGTTCATTCTGAACGAAGGATATTTATTATGTGTATATCAAAATTTGTGTTCTTCATGCGCTGTAACCCACGATCTTTGACAATTTTATGTCATTTTGAAAGAATGTAAATGGATTATGTGTACATCAAAATTTGCAATTCTTATAAACTAGAAGGTACTTATTTTGTCAATTTTGATCCATTTTGAACGAAAGTAAATTTGTTGTGTACATAAATATTTTCTATTTTCACAGCTATGACTTATGATTTTGGATAATTTTGGTTTGTCATGAAAAAATGTAGATAAATTTCGTGTCCATCAAAATTTGCAATTTTTATGAGTTAACACTTGATTTTTTTTGATAATTTTGGTTTATTTCAAACGAATGCAAACAAATTGTGTACATTGAAATATGCGAATATCATGAGCTATACCAACGAACTTTTTTCCAAATTCGTTCCTCAGACAACAAAAATTATTATGAGTACATTAAAATTTGTGATTTTCATAAGTTAGAACTCATGCCTTTTCATAATTTTGGTTCGTTTCGAAATAATGTAAAAGAAATTACGTGCACATCAAAATTTATAATTTTTATGTACTTAACCAATAATTTTTGTTAATTTTAGTTTATTTTAAACAAAAGTAAATTTGTTGTGTACATCAAAATTTGCGATTTTCATGGGCTATAATCCATATTTTTAACAATTTTGTTTTGTTTTGAATGATTGTTAATAAATTACATATACATCAAAATTCGCGATTTTCATGAACTATAAGCTAAAAAATTTGTCAGCCTTGATTCATTTTGAACAAATGTCAATAAAGTTTTTGTACAACAAATTTCGCAATTTTCATGCGCTATAACCCAAAATTTTTGTCGCATTTGGTTCGTTTCAAATGAAAATAAATTTTAAAATTTGTGATTTTCATGGCCTATTACCCAATATTTTTGACAATTTTTGTTCGCTTTGAACAAATATAAGTATATTATGTTTATATTAAAAATTTGCGATTTTCATGTAACCCGCGAATTGTATACATTTTAGTTCATTTCGAACAATGTAAATTGTTGTGTACATTAAAATGAGATATAACTAATGATTTTGACACCTTTGTTTCATTTTGAATGAATATAAATAAATTATGTGTACATCAAACTTTGTGTCATCCATAGGCTATAGTTTTTTAAAATTTTGGTTTGTTTAGAATGAAAGTAAATAAATTGTGTACATCAAACTTCACAATTTTCATGAGTTATATCCTATAAATTTTATCAATTTTGGGCAGTTACGTAGAAAGTAAATTTATTATGTACATCAAAGTTTGTAATTTTCATGCGCTATAATCCGTGATTTTTGATAATTTTTGTTCGTATTATAATGACTTTAAATAATGTGTACATTAAAATTTGTAATTTTCATGAGCTATAATTCCAAATTTTTGTCACTTTTGGTTCGTTTTGAACGATGTAAATACAAATTTGTGTTTTTCATGAGCTATATAACCTATGATTTTTGATATTTTTAATTCATTTTGAATGAATGCAAATAGATTATGTATACATCACCAAAACTAGCGACTCTCATCAGCTATAACGAACTAATTTTGTCAATTTGATCCATTTCTAACAAAAGTAAATTTGTTATGTGTACATAAATATTTGCCAATTTCATGAGCAACAACCCATGATTTCCTAAAATTTTAGTTTGTTATGGAAGAATGTAGATAAATTATCAGTCAAAATTTGTAATTTTTATTGGCTAACACGTGATTTTTTTGTCAATTTTGGTTCGCTAGGAATGAATGCAAATCAATTGTGTACATCAAATTTTGTGATTTTCATGAGCTATACCCATGAATTTTTTCCAAATTGAATTCTTTTCAATGAATGTAAATTTATTATAAGTACATCTATTTTCATGAATTAGAACTCATGATTTTTGACAATTTAAGTTCGTTCGGAACGAATGTAAAGAAATTATGTGTACATTAAAATTTGTAATTTTCATGAGCTATAACCTATAATTTTGTCAATTTTGTTTCATTTTTATGAAAGTAAATTGGTTGTGTACAATAAAATTAGCGATTTTTGTGGGCTATAATCCATGATATATACCATTTTTGTTTGTTTTGAATCATTTTAAATAAATTACATGTACATCAAAATTTACGATTTTCATGAATAAAAACCTAAAAATTTTGTCAGTTTTGATAAGTTTTGAATGAACATAAATACATTGTGTACAACAAATTTCCCAATTTTCATGCGCTATAACACAAAAAATTTATCACCTTTGGTTCGTTTCGAGCAAAAGTAAATACGTTTTTGTACGTCAACATAGAAAGAGGTCAGATGTCGTGTGATCTGCATGATATCAAAGATGATATTCGACTCGACTTCCAACAAGTCAGAGATGGCGACATTCAGAAGGAAAAAGAGAAGATGAAAGTGAAAAGACGGTCTCGTACGAGGTAGAGGACGTAGAAGGAAGTTGTTGAAGGGGATAGAAGTTAAGAGTTGATAAACCGGATAGAGCAAGTTTTTTAAATGGATGGAACTTAGAATTAATGGTAGAACAAAGTTAATTGGATAGAACTAAGTCTTCAAGAGGATAGAGCTTAGAAATGATAACATTAAGCTTTTAGAAAGAAGTACAACTATAGTAATAAATGGCAGGAATGTTAATGTTTAATGTGTAGAACCTTGGACATAGCGCCCTGCTCTTCTAATTTAGAGGAATTTGAACAAGTTAGTTAGTTCAATCTAGTATTTGACATTATAAGATCGCTGCTTCTTTAAGCTAGAAAATGATTGTGAGTAGTCTCTTCTGTAGACAATCATTTTAATAACTGGTTGGAAAATTTTAAAGTTTGAGACCCTATCATTTCTCTCAAAAAATTCTTGGTATTGTTGACATAATTTCTTGGCGACGCCGCTGCAAGTGAAGGGAAAGAATTAAAATATGAAAACGTGTGACAAACACAGGTCGCATGAATGTACAACAACTTTGACGAGCAAAACTAATAACTTAAGGGTTAATTGTACATAGACCCCCTGCAGTTTTATTTATTGTGAACAGATCCCTCTGTGGTATCGGCGGCCCAAGTGTGAATACAGCTTCAAAGAAAATAAAAAAATAACTCACCAAAATGTTTAATTTCCCACCGAAAATCGACGAGGCCTCCTTCAACAACTCCTCCCTCTGCTCTCTCACCGACAAATCGCAGACCGATCCGGTGACTCTTAACCCTAGCCCCTCCCATTTCTTCAAGCACGCGCCGAGCTCCCCCTCCTTTCGAGAGCACGTGTGGACCGACGCCCCGAGAGCAGCCAATTCCTCGACCACAGCGTGCCTGTAATCGACGGAATCAAATGAGTAGATGAGGGAAATTAGATTAAATTCGGAGAGGAAATCGAAAGAAAATTCCTCTTAACAATCGACAGAAAAAGAAACAAAATAAGATACGAAATCGAACCCGATTCCTCGAGTTCCGCCAGTGACGAGGGCGGTCATCCCGATCAGAGACCATCGGTGAGATTTTAGGGTTTCGCTGCCGCTGCTGTGATCGTCTCCCATCTTGATAATCGAAATTAAGAAGGGTATCTCTCAAGAATTTTAGTGATGAGAGCATATATAAATAGATGAAACGAAAGAAGCACGTACGTTGGAGAGAGTCGCTTTCGGAAGTGGGTGGGCTTCGCTAAAAACCAATCGCGTCAAGCTCAGGAAGTCGCTTTCTGTTACGAGCTTGTTTAGCTCTGTATTTTTGGGTTTTCGGTTGCATTTGGTTCATTTTGCTCCAATGCTAATGTCATCTCCAAGTATATTAATGGCACAATTTGATATACTATACATTTACATATGACTCTGTTGTTTAGTTTACTTGAATGTTTAGTTTACTTTACAGGTCTTTAAGTTTGCACTTCGTTGTTTAGTTTTCTTTGGTGGTTATGCTGATTCGAGCTTGTTTAGCTCTATTTTGTTGGGAATTTGGTGAGTATTTGGGCTTGTTGTCGAGCTATGAAGGCTGTTTTTTTGGTGGTTATGCTGATTCGAGCTTGTTTAGCTCTTTATTGTTGGGAATTTGGTGAGTATTTGGGCTTGTTGTCGAGCTATGAAGGCTGTTTTTTGGTTGTTATGCTGATTCGAGCTTGTTTAGCTCTTTATTGTTGGGAATTTGGTGAGTACTTGGGCTTGTAGTCGAGCTCCTAAAGCTGTTTTTTCAGTTAATATGGAGATTCGAGCTAGTTTAGCTCTCTATTGTTGGATATTTGGTGGTCATTGGGCTGTTGTCGAACGATGGATGCTGTTTTGTGGTTATTATGCTGATTCGAGCTTGTTTAGCTCTCTATTGTTGGCTATGTGATTGATATTTTTGCTTGTTGTCGGGTTGTTTTGGCTATTATTTTGGTTTCATGGCTCAATCAAGCTTGTTTAGCTCTATATTGTTAGGAACTAGACATTAAACTAGCCATTACTAAAATAATAAATATGGTAGTTAACAATTTTCTATAAATTTGACATATGTAACCAAACAAAAGAAAAAGAAAATTTGCTATTTCTATAAAGTGTGTAGCACATTTTCTTGTTTTGAACCAAACAAGCAAACTTCAAAAAACAAGAAAATTTGTACTTTTTGACTTCTCAAAACTTTTCCTATAATTTTTTTAAGAAATACAAGGAAATCAAATTTTTGATGGAAAACATTTCCTACAATTTATAGAAATGTAACCAAACACCCCCTTAGGCACCGACGAAAAAAATCAATGGTTGAAAGTGAAAGAGATCAGTTTACAGAGTAGAGTTCACCATCTGCTCAATTAATCCTACCTAGCTCCAAACTTCATATAGAACAGTGAGAATTTCTCTTTGTACAAAAGAGATATTGTAACCCTAATTTTTTTTCTCATAGCAGATTCTTCTTCTCTTCTCCGTGATTTTTACCCAGATTTATTTAGGGGCTTTCAACGTAAAAATCTGTGTGTTCGATCAATTTATTATTTCCGCACTAATATTAGTTAATATTATGACCCCGCTTTATCTGATCTCGATTGTCCAACAAGTGGTATCGGAGCCTTGCTTAAAACGCGTGTATCTGTTTATCGTATGCTCTGCGGTTGCCACTAAATGTTTATCGGAGCCTTGCTTAAAACGCGTGTATCTCGATTGTGTCCGAATATTTCCACACATCTAACAAATTCTCCGTCTAAGAAAGGGCCTACTTAATTAGTGACGTCTAAGATGGTCAATGCATTTTTGTACCTTCTGGATGCTTAAAGTTTCATGTAATTAAATAAATCAATCAAGAAAAAAAATTAAGTATGTTAGCCCATCACATCAAAAGCTTAAGCTAATCAAATTAAGCACCTCGACAAAGAACTACGAGTAGTGAGATCAAGATAAATATGATATACGTGTACACGTGAATGCATGGACCTCAAGTCTTCTTATCAATTTTATATTGATTGGTGGAGGACTGAGGCATGCTTTTATGACTAGTTTTAAGGAAAAAGTTAAATACTGGGGATAGATTAATCTACAAGGGTGTAGTCCTTGAGCCCTAGTCGCCCTCTTTGTGGAATTGAGAATGAAAATCATGATCACATCCTCTTACAATACTCTTTTTGTATTTTTATTTATTTTATTTGGAGATCAATTCTTCACAAGTTTTCTCTACCTACTGTACTTAGGATATGCTACACGGTCAGGCTCTGGTAGTTTCTTTATGAGTTGCTTCACTCTTATGCTTTCAATTAGAAGCAACTTTATCTGACAAATCCACCTTGGAAAAAAAAAAAAACTAGCACAAGTATACATTCACAATAATAACAATTGTTGCAGATTTACGAATAAGCCATAAATTGAACTCCTCATAATTTCTGTTTGAACCGGTAACTGGAGATAAAACACTTTTCCCATATGGATTTCAATTAGGCTTGTGGCAAGACCGGGCAAGCACAGAGGGCAGCCTAAGCCCTGCAGATACGAACTTGACAAGAATAGTTGAAGAATCTAGGCAGATATCGTTGTTATATTTTCCGAAATTCTTGTAGAAGAGAATTTTCACTGCCCACATTAACATACAACACTGCAGCCATGGGCCAATTTGATGAAGAAAAAAGATAACATAAGATATGACAGCAGTAAACTGAATACAATATCAATAGGTCATGTTCACTGAGGAAAATACCTTTAGATGATCGATAACCAAGTAAAAGAATTGGCTGAAGCCGCTGCATAGCCTCTCCAGCTTTCTAACCTGTTTCTCTCTCTTTATTGAAGGCGAGCCCCTTGATATATTTTGAGTAGAAACTCCACCAATTGTTTGGATCGATAAAACTTTAGCTATAACAATAACGGCGAACCAGATATAAAATAACAGCCTTCCGTTGCACAAAGAAATCCCAAGATATTGAATTTTACAAGCAGAAAACTAAATAACAGACCCATAATGCAAATGTTTATTATTGTCTAAGGTCAATGTCCACCATATAAACAAACTTCAAGCTAAAAATATCAACATGCAATTCTACGTATGCATGTCATTATGTACCGGCCCAAAATACACAGGGTGTTGCCTAATCGTGAGTCGGGTAGAACCCATTCACAGTCATTCCACCATCAACCGAGATGATCTGCCCTGTGATGTAGGATGCAGAAGGGAGGCAAAGGAAAGCCACCAGAGATGAGACTTCTTCTGGCTCCCCTACTCTTCGAAGAGGGGTCCGAGCAATTACACTCTCCACAAAGTCTTTGTCTGCAAAGAGCTGGAAAAAAATGGAAGAGGGGATTAGAATTAAGATTGGGTTAGATAATAGTTTGCAGCAAACAAGAATACTAATCAAAGAAAAAAAAGAAAGTTCGCAAGTATATGCTTGAGATTACACATGACTCTACTGCATCTTAGTAGTAGTCTGATCATGCACCTTCAATGATATGTCAAATTGTAAATCCCTACAAATAAAGAGAAAGGTCACTAGTGATCACATATTTAGATCTAGAAATTTCAAGGCTCCACTCTCTCCAATTACCAATGTGACTTGGTTTCTCCATTTTTTTCTCTTAATCAATGTAGGATCATATACAGCAAACCCACAGACGTCCATGATTCGCCTATAGGGGACAAAGAGAGTTCTTAGTGCACAGTTGGGTAGTCCTTGCTTAGTTCCTCCCCAATTTTCCACCCAGGATTTGAATATCCAGTGGGGCTCCCCAAATTACGACAAGACACACTACCAATCATATTATTCAGATTCCTGCCCTGCTGATGATTGTACAAAAATTCAAGGACACGGACTCCTAATAATAAAGATCAAGACTAAATACATGTCAAATTTAAACACTTAAATATGAAACATACTTGTATTTGTTGTAAATCAACTATGAGCTAGGGGGAAGTTTGATCTAGTGTATGGAATAGCGGGATCGCATATAAGGGTTGAGGGAGTGATTTGATGCCTCAAGCTCGCCTTTTTAGGGGATAAAAAAGTGATTTTTATTTCTAGATCTGACCTCTTGAATTCTTTTTCTGTAGGCCATTATGTCGCGAGTATCGAGAGGTCGTTTTCCTGCTGCATCGGTTGATGGCGCGCTTCCCTAATATGCTGGTGAGCAATTTTTTGACCTTTTTCGAAAATTTACAAATTAGTCCTCTTTTTCTGGATATTTGCAAATTGGTCCATTTTACCCCCCGTTGTCTTCTTCTGGCTCCCCTACTCTTCGAAGAGGGGTCCGAGCAATTACACTCTCCACAAAGTCTTTGTCTGCAAAGAGCTGGAAAAAAATGGAAGAGGGGATTAGAATTAAGATTGGGTTAGATAATAGTTTGCAGCAAACAAGAATACTAATCAAAGAAAAAAAAGAAAGTTCGCAAGTATATGCTTGAGATTACACATGACTCTACTGCATCTTAGTAGTAGTCTGATCATGCACCTTCAATGATATGTCAAATTGTAAATCCCTACAAATAAAGAGAAAGGTCACTAGTGATCACATATTTAGATCTAGAAATTTCAAGGCTCCACTCTCTCCAATTACCAATGTGACTTGGTTTCTCCATTTTTTTCTCTTAATCAATGTAGGATCATATACAGCAAACCCACAGACGTCCATGATTCGCCTATAGGGGACAAAGAGAGTTCTTAGTGCACAGTTGGGTAGTCCTTGCTTAGTTCCTCCCCAATTTTCCACCCAGGATTTGAATATCCAGTGGGGCTCCCCAAATTACGACAAGACACACTACCAATCATATTATTCAGATTCCTGCCCTGCTGATGATTGTACAAAAATTCAAGGACACGGACTCCTAATAATAAAGATCAAGACTAAATACATGTCAAATTTAAACACTTAAATATGAAACATACTTGTATTTGTTGTAAATCAACTATGAGCTAGGGGGAAGAAGGAACCAGAGTAATTGACACGTGATATTATCCATGTTCAGGGATATATTATCAGACTCCTCATTCCAATACCATCAAAGGAGAGAGAACTTACACCTTCAACAAGCGAAGTCCTGATGTACCACGGCGAAACAGAATTGACTCGGATATTGTCCTTTGCCCATTCACATGCCAAATTTTTTGTAATTTGATTCATTGCTCCTGACACATAAAAACACAGACTAACTTTCAACTTGCCATCCTTCTAAAAAATTATAAATAAATGTGTTGCTACTATGCGAAGTCTTACCTTTAGTAGCCGCATAGATGGCACCACTATTTAGAGCAACGACCCCAGCAACAGACGAGATGAATACAATACTGCCCTTTCCTGATGCTTTAAGAAGAGG